TGGCCTTCTGTAAGAACAACCAGTGCTCTTAACTGTTGAGCCATCTCTCCAGCCCGGTACTCATAGTCTTTAAAATTGGCCCAACATCAAATGAGCAAATACTGAAGCGGGTTGGGCTTCTGCAAAGCTCTGGTCAACATTTTCATCAACTAATCCAACACAATGTTCTCTGATGTGTGTTTTGTAAAAGAGATCTTATTTAATAAACGGACGATTCATTAGCATTGAACTCACTGCCCAGAGCATCATGTAGTGCCGAGTTGCTTCATGCCTGAAAAATGGTTAATCTAACAAACCGATTGTCCCTATAAGCCACATCACAGCCCTGGAACACTAGACGGCACTTTAGCGCTGTGCTTAGGGGTCCCTTGAAGTAGCAAAATCACCAATAAAGAGCACAAAAATGCAAAAATCGCGGCACTAGAAAGCCCATAAAAAAGACGTTTGTTATGGCGTGACAGCTCAAATAGGGCAGAGCCGCACTCGCTCAGCCTCAGCTGGAGCTGCGGCTCTCAGGTGACTCCCACGGGCGCCCACTGGCTTTGGCAAATGTGCTGGTACTGACCTGAGGGCAGCAGAGCCGCCACATCAGGGAGGGGGGCAGGTCTGGGAGTCTGAGGAAGACTGAAGAGAGCGGCCACGGAGGTTGCACCCCACTCACCAAATCTAAACCGAACTGTTCGACTCTTTCTACGCATGGTCTGCTGACCGCTTCTCCAGGCTCGGGGCAACTTTTCATTCTCGAAGCCTCTGAATTTGGGGGTTTCCGTTACAGCAGCTCACTGTGCGCTGATACAGGCTATCAGGTCTATGCCCTTGTGCTACACACACACTGCCAGCTTATTTCACCAGGCTTGCTTTAGTCTCTCAGGACACTCACATTCCCAACAGCTTCCCCCCTACCAAGCAGGCCAGAACCCAGTTGAGGGGGTGCTCCTACAGTCAGCTGCTGTTGCTGGAATTCTTTCCTGGGGGAGACAGAAGCCAATGCCTCCCCCTCCTCCTAAGATCCCAATGACAGACTGAGGTGTAGTTCTGACAAAGTTCACTCTGGGCTTCTTTAGAGAACAGGTGAAGGCCACTTATAGGGGTGTGGGGCCCCCTCACCTAGCCTCCCCTAGCCTAAATACTATAGCCCTGCTCTGAGGCCATGTTCAATACAACAGGCCCTGAGTTGAGTTGCATACAACGGGTGGTATGGGAAGAGGCCGGCCACTCAGGTGAGGATCTTCTGACCCTCCTCAACAATCAACAAGCGCAGCTGGGATAATCCTTTTGCAAGCAATCACGGCTGAACTGCGGTTGCCTGGCTCCGAAGGACCGCCAGACACAACACCTGCATTAGCATGGATATGCACGGCGTAAACACCACACTCAGGTCCTCCTGGGATGAAGAAATGGCCGCATCTCCGCTTATGCAAGCTCTACGGTCTTTGAGTCTTTGAGAATCACCCAGTAGGTTAGAAGTCTCTGGGGGGGCTTTTGACGTTGACACCTGATGTTGTCATCTACAAATATGTTGAGTCACATTCCTAGATGTACTGGGACACTTGTGGCCTAAGGGCCACAGGCTGAACATGTCTGCTATGGGAACTGAAAGGAAACGGGTCCCCACTTCCGGGCAGCCCACCTGAGTGAGCATCATTCTGTGCTCTTCCCCTTTACCATTTTAAGCTGGTTTCCACTTTCTCCTTCCTCTTTTGGGACAGGCTCTTGCTCTGTATCCCAGGCTGGCTTTGAACTCACAATCTTAACTACCTTAGCTCTCTGAGTCGTGGGACTAGAAGCATGCACTTCCATGCCCAACCCCTGGGTTCTACCTGGAACCTCGGTTCCCCCATCTATACAGACATGCCGGGCACGCAAGGATTCCCTGAGAATGAGAGCGAAGGTAGCAGACGGTACTCGACCAGCATCTGATGCCGTTCTTTCCACGTGTGACAAACTATTTCAAAGGCCTCCCCTAACACCAGTTCTAGCAGATTCCCAAAGATCCTCCCTAACACCAGTTCTAGCCTTCTTTCCAGATTCCCAAAGATCCTCAAAGTTAATTTCCAAGCTACACACAGGCTTTGGTACCCCTCGGGAGAAAACTTCCCATCTCCGGAGACCTTCGAGCCATTTAGCAATATCCTGGATCCCAGAAGCGCACTCATCCCCGAGTCCGTGACAGTCTCCTCGTCTGCAGGTCCCTAACGTGTCCCCTTCGTCTGGGGCTCCCCCGGCCTCTCTCATCACTGCCTCCCTCATCCCGATCCCTCACCTCGCGGCCCTCTTCCCTCTCCCCTGGCCGCGTCGTCGCCCTCGCTTCCTCCGTCCGGCCCCTCGCCCTGCAGCCGCCGGCCCGACCCACGCCCCTGCGGCGGGGCACGGCGACTAGAGGCACGTGGCCCGAACCCCGGCTGCTCCCCTCACCTCCTGAGCGACGCCGAGATTCTCCCGCTTCTTTTTAGTCATAGTTGCTCGCCGTGTCCCCTCCGCACCGGACCCGCCCCCCTAGGCCGCCCCGCGCACGCGCAAGCCCTCGTGCTTCTCTCTCACTGGCCGGCGCGGCAGGAGGAGGCGGGGCTTCTGCCGTCGCCATCTTGTTGAGGGGCGCGTCCCTCCTGCCGCGGCCATGTTTGTGAGGGGCGGGCTCTAGTTGGAGGTCTCGGGACAGGATCTGCAGAGAAGCCGTGATTGGTCCACGCCTGGGTGGAGACCGCTTTACGTGTACAGATTGAGAACTTTCTTTTTTTTCTTTTTTCCTTCTTTCTTTCTCTCTTTCTTCTTCCTTCCTTCCTTCCTTCCTTCTTTCTTCTTCTTTTCTTTCTTTCTTTCTTTCTTTCTTTCTTTCTTTCTTTCTTTCTTTCTTTCTTTCTTTCTTTCTTTCTTTTCTTCCTTTCTTCCTTCCTTCCTTCCTTCCTTCCTTCCTTCCTTCCTTCCTTCCTTCCTTTCTTTTTCTGTCTGCCTGTCTGTCTCTCTCTACCTGTCTGCCTGTCTTTCCTTTTCTTTTTTCTCTCTCTTTTAAACATCTTCCTTCTTGCAGCCGGTCCGCGGCATCCCTGCACAGTGTTAGGCTAACCCCATTCAGATTCAGTCGGTCCTACGAGGCTCAGCCTGCAAGCCCTGCTCCTTCAGTCCCGATCTGAGCCACTCCGCCCGTTGGAATCTGTGGCCTGGTACCGTTAATCGTTTCGTGTTCTTGGACATTGCTCTCGTTTTCTGGCGAGACAGGAGCAGCCTGCCAACATCACGGGAGACGTGTGGAAGGCGGGCAGCATGCAATGTTCAGCCTGAGTTTTACCAGCTCCTTTTTCTGCGTATTCCTTTACAGGCCTGCTCAGGCTTAGCATTTCTAAGTGTTTAGACCTGTGGCTTTTTGAGATGTTTTAACTATAACCCTACCGTATAGACTGTGACCCGTGGAACTGCAACCCAAGTCTTACAACTCAACTCAGTACGTTTAGCATCTGTGAAGTGCTGTGGCAATTTTAAACTATTTGAGTTAAAAAAAAAAAAAAAAAAAAAAAGATAGCCGAGCATGATGGGACAATATCTGTAGTCCCAGTTACTTAGGAGAGTAAGGTGGGAGCAGTATTTAGAGCCCGCAAGTTTGAAATCCGTCTGGACAACAATGAAACCTCAACAATTAAAAAAATAGTATTTTTTAAAAATTGTGAGGAGCAAAAAAAAAAAAAAAAAAAAAAAAAACCTAGCAAGTAGATGGATGTGGTTTAAAAGAGTTTAAACTACCATAGCTCTTTTTTACGTCTTTGAGATCATGATTATTGATGATGCCACCAGGTAATACATCCCATTTTTGTGCTGGACGTTATTTCATAGGGCGGAACCTCTCTGTGCAGGGAACAAAGCAAGCATCTCTGCACACACAGCTCTGTCCTTCGGCGTTCCTTTCTAAAGATAAATGTGCCCAGGTGGAATTCCTAGGTCAAAGCTGATGAGACTGGAATCGAAGCTCCTTGGTTCACAGTAGTTATCTCTGCACTGGAGCCTGATTCTCTGTGTGAATAATAACCCCACCTCTGTGTTTGGAGGAAAAACGTTTTCAGATCTGTGTTTCCTTCTTGATAGAGTCCTTGAGTGATGGGGCTGGGAGGAACCCGAGATACCATCTCGCTTGGCCGCCTGCGACCCACGAGAGAGCTTGTAGTAAATCCTACCTGAACGGGACGCAGGCTGTTGGAAGTTTAGTGCAGTTCTCCCAGCTTAACACCCGGCACAGGAAAATCTTACTCGAGAACATTGTCTATCAACTGTCAATCAACAACACTTAATGTCGGAACACTCTTCCAGCATTGGTTCCAGGCCCAGAAAAACCAGATTCTGCTTCCCGATTATCACAGGCACTGGCCCAGGGGAGGTGAGAAAAGGAGGAAAAACACTGTGTTCTTTTAGAAGTGGCTCCTTCTGCGTTTCTCTGGCACCAAGAAAAAGCCACAGAGCTCTCTCTGGCTGTGCCTCATGCCAGTCTCGTTTCCTCCCAGTCCCCGGCAAAGACAGGGGATCTCTCAACTTTCTCCCTCAGCAACCTCATGTGTTTCCAACCAGGCCTTGTCTCCTGGGTCAGGTGATGGGGTAAAATGCTCAAGATGAGGAGCTGGAGAGTGAAGAGCATTTTAGCCCTTGTACGGGACCTGGGTGGCATTCCTAGCATCCACATGGTGGCTGATAATTTGGTAACTCCAATTTCATAGGAGCTGACGCCCTCTTCTGGCCACCTTAGGTACTGCGTATACATGGTGCACAGATAAAACATACAGGCAAAACACCCAAGAACATAAAAGTAAAAATATTGTTTAAAAAAAAAAAAAAGCCAGGCAGTGGTGGCGCACACCTTTAATCTCAGCTCTCTGGGAGGCAGAGGCAGGTGGATCTCCTGAGTTCAATGCCAACCTAGTCTGCAGAGCGAGTTCCAAGACAGCTAGGGCTACACAGAGAAACCCTGTCTTAAAGGAGAAACCAAAACAAAAAACAAAAAAACTCAAAACGGGCTGGAATCAAAGTCTCTGTGGATTGTATCGAAGGGGGGGATCTTTTACAGTGAAGCTGTCCTGGATTCCAGTCTCCGCTCTGACATTTAGCAGCTGTACACAGTGGCGACGCGGAGCAAAGTACTTCCGTTTCCTAGGCCTCGGTTTTCACATCTGTTAAGTGAGTGCATCACGGCGGGTGTGGAGGGCCCTTCTGAGAACTGCTACAGAGCGGCTGTGGCAGCTGCAGAGTGAGTGACCTGGAGAGCCTCAGGACTGAGGAGCCACCAGCCTGTGGCTGGGTTTTGCCTACTAGTTGCTGCCATTTGTCTTGAGGCTGATTTCTGTCAGCCTTCCCGTCACTATGGAGCAACGTGTTGTCTGGAGTTTGAGGCAACTACCTGGAGTGTGGCCTTCACTGCAGCCCCAGCATGCACAGGCATCTCTCCACGGAGGGGCCGCCCTCTCCTCTCACAGCTTGATGGATGTGTCAGGACGGCACAGAAGGTGCTGACTGACCCCTGTGGTGTGAGGAGAGGCTGCGGGACCCAGGCAATCCACTCAGGTCCTTACACACCCCACCCCACCCTGGCGGCTAGTACAGAGAGGCCCGGCGTTGACTCCTCCCACCAGGGCTGTCCACTGAGCTTTTCTACTGCCTGGCCTGGCAATCCTGCCCAGGAGCAGATGGAGTCCTGGGGGATGGCAGTCGTCTGCATGTGTCTCTTGGTTCCCCAGGGAGCTGTGGGCCTGAACTGTCTTTTTGAGGGTTTTCGAGTGGCTGAGGCAAATAGAGCGTGTTGCATTGGCGGTCGGGAGACCTGGGTCTCTTCTGGAAGGTTCTCGTGGCACAGCCTTGGGCTGGTCCAGCCTCTCCTTTGCCTTTCCTTTTTTTTTTTCCCCTTTCTCTACAAAATGGACAGGGCAGAGAGAACCTGCCAACGTAGACACCCCACCATTCTGTTTCCATGACCTTGTTGTTAGAAAGGTGCCCAGACATAAGGCGCCGTGGTCAGCTGTAAGGTAGACATATGCCGTAAGATGAACTCATCATTACCCTCAAGGTATCTTTAATCTAGTTAGAGAGACAGACGTGACAGCATGAAGTAGCAAATGCCAGATACTGTATAATTAAATGCCAGCGGCCTGGTACCCACTGCTGCTGGGTTAGTGGCTCTGATAAAGATAATGCTGTGGGCATCCGGGGTGGCTTGGCAGGGGCTCTAGGTCACAGGGTATAGATGAGACTGTGCTGGGGAGTGATTGGGAGAGGGCATCCCGGTTGGCAGGGAATGCCAGGAGAAGGAGCCCTCTCCATCTTCGGGGAACAGCATGGCAGAGGCTGGCCTCAGCCCAAGCTCCAGATGGTTCCTTCTGTCCTTCTCCTCTTTCTGGACTCGCCTGAACTGTGAGACCCAGGCTCCGATCCCCAGCAGGGCCCGAGGGAGCCTTTTTCAGAGCAGGGGTGAGGGAGAGTGGCGTCGTTCGCTGTCAGAAGCACTTCAGGCAGGAAGCGAAGAGTTTCCTAGGTAGTTTAAAAATACACTGGGAGCTGATTTATGTTTGAATTTTGTTCCAGGGCAGCAGATCATAGCCCAAGTTTCGAGGCAAAGGCAGCGGTGTCTTTATGGCCTGCTCGGATGGTTTCACGTCTTCGTGCTTTTTATGTTTCAGCTAAGCCAGGATGCTGGAACGTTTTTTGCCCGCTGTTCTTCGCTGGGGGAACCTTGTATATACCAAGGCTTACTCAGCTGCATTTTGACTACATTTAAAAAAAAAATAGATGATTATTTTTTGCTCGTTTCTTACTTGGTGTCCAGTTTCTAGTCAACTTGAATCAAATAATAAGTAGATAATCTGGGGAGAAAACAAAAGAATGGGGGATCATTGAAGGCACAGAAATCCAGATTATTTGATCCCACAGCATCCTTACTGAAGTTTTCTAAGACACAGTCTCATGTAGCACAGGATGGTCTCAGATTTACTAGGCAGCTGGAGATGACCTTGAACTCTCGACCCTCTTGCCTCCACCTCCCAAGTGCTGGGATTGTAGGTGTGCACCACCGTGCCTGGTTTACCATCAAACCCAGGGCTTCCTCCTGCATGCCAGGCAAGCGCTCAACCTCCCGAGCTAACCCCGCCCCCAGCCCCTCACCGGCCTCTTGAGAATGTCATCAAGACATTTGTGACGAGATGAGCTGGGCTTGGGGTGACTGCACCTTCTGTGGTTGACGCTGCTCCCCTCTCTCCTCAGATCCAAACCGCTTTGATCTTGAGCATGAGTCTCCATAGTGTAGGCTTTCCCTGGCTCTGATTGCTCTCGCCTGGATTTCTCTTAGCTCGATCATGGCATTTCTTTCTTTTAACTTAGGATGTTTATTTTATTTGATGGGTACAGTGTTTTGCCTGCATGGAGTTACAGATGTTTGCAAACTGCAATGTGGGTGCTGGGAACTGAACCCCAGTCCTCTGAAAGAACAGCCAGTGCTCTTAACTGCTGCCCCATCTCTCCGGTCCGCAGTATCTATTTTTAGCCCCTGGTCTGATGAGCATTTCACTAAGACACGCAGACTCCTCTTTGGGGAACGCAAAGGGACATGAAGAAATCAATAAATACATCCTGTGTTTGTAAATATGACTCTTTGTTCTTCCTAAAGCAGTTCCTGCGTCCGTTAGTTCTGCGGGTAAGGACGGTGGAGCTGGCTTCGCCACGCCCATTTTGCAGAGAAGGGAATGGGGTACTTCCGTAAGTTGTGGGGCCCGCAAAGCAGGGCAGACCCACTCCTCCTGCACAGGGGACCAGATGCAGCCCTCTGAAGATAAGAAGATGAAGCTCACTCGGGAGGCAGAGCCAGGCGGATCTTTGTGAGTTCAAGGCCAGCCTGGGCTACCAAGTGAGTTCCAGGAAAGGCGCAAAGCTACACAGAGAAACCCTGTCTCGAAAAAAACCAAAAAAAAAAAAAAAAAAAAAAAAAAAAAAAAAAAAAAAAAAGGGAAAAAAAACAGACAATTAGGGACTTTAAAAACAGCTTTTAAAAACGGATATATTTGGTGTGTGTTCATATACGTGTGTGGGCAGGAGACAACTTGTGGTTATCAAATTTCTCCGTCCACCATGTAGGTCCTGGAGGTTGAACTCAGGTCATCAGACTTGGTGGCGGGTGCCTTTACCCACCCACCCAGCCACCTCCCTCCCACCGGCAAACTCTTAGCGCATGCGGAGGTGGGGGGATGGGGGTAATAACGTTGGTGCAGCCTGTCAGAAAGTATACAAGCTGGGGTGATCTGGCTTTAGAGACCCCGCGAGTCCCCCCCCTGCATTGACATCTCCTCCCGTGACTTCCTCAGAACAGAGCCACCCCCACGGTCCCGGAGGGGGTATCTTGCCAATCTGTCAATCATAGAGCCACATGTTCTTGGTCATGGTGATTGGTTCAGAGGGAGAGCGGGTAACCTTACCTGGGCCAATCAGAGACCTTCCTTGAGATTTCCCACCCATCTGTAGCTAGGTGAAATTCCTTCCCTCCTTGAGCCGCGGGAATGAGATCCTGAAACCACTCTGGCAGCTCTGGCAGCTCTTGTCCTGGGAAGGGGACAAGGTTCTGAGGTGGCAGGTGGCATGTTGGGAACAATAGTGAGGCGGGGGATGGAGAGAACCCCGGTGATGGTAAACACTCGGGATCCACAAGTCGGTGCCTTGCCCTTGCCTCTTCTATATCCCCACCAATAAATCCTCACTCTTAGTTTTTGAGACAGGTCTTTCTCGTGTAGCCCAGGTCGTCAGGCTTAGTGGCAAATATCTACCTGCTGGGCCATCCAGTTCCCTCTTATGAGCTCAAACTAACCCAGAGATTTCTTTTCTTTTCTTTCTTTTTTACAAGAACTAATTAAAATTTTATTTAAGGTTTAGTTATTTTTATTTTATATGTATATTTTGCTTCCCTGTACATATATGTACCACATGTTTGCCTGGTGCCTGAGGAGGCCAGAAGAGGTTATTGGGTCCCCTAGAACTGGAGTTATGGATGGTTGTGAGCCACGTGGGTCCTGGGACCTGAACTCGGGTCCTTTGCAAGAGTAGCAAGTGCTCTTAACCACTGAGCCATCACAAGTAGTTTTATGGTTGTTGTTGTTTTTTGACTGAGGTTTTTGTCTTGTTCATTTGCCCCCCCAACCCTCTGTGCCCCCAATAAATGATGCTTAAGATCATTTCCAGAGGATCTGGGTTTGGTTTCCAGAATTCACTTCAGGTAGCTTGCACCTGTCTGTGGCTCCAGCTCCAGGGGATCAGATGTCTGTGGCCTCCCGGGCGGGGTACCTGCGCTGATGTGCACACACCCACATGCAGATTTCCACACCTACACATAATTGAAAAACAAATCTTTTCAAAAAGGAATGACATTTCTCTGGGGCCAGGCTTTGGTCGTCTAGATCCATAAGCCAGACCCTCTGTGTTCAGTTTTTCCAGTAGCTTGGGCTTTGGGAAGTAATCATAACAATGGCAGTCACAGCTGGGGGTCCAGGGGGAGCAATCCGACCCTGCTGTTCATCAACTGTGTGATGCTGGGCAAGCCATTTAACCCCTGGACCCCAGTTCTTTCATCTGTGAAATGAGGACATCAATAGGAGCTACTTAATAAGGTACGTTTGTGACGCCGAGGATAAAACCCAGAATTTCACACATTAGGCAGATGCTTTGACACTGAGCTATATCCCAAGTCCTCTCTATTTGGTCCTTGGGGATGGGGTCTCACTCTGTAGCTTAGGCTACCCTCAGACTTGCAGTAACCCTTCTGCCTCTGCCTCTCTAGTGCTGGGATTACAGGCACACATCACATTGCCTGGCTTTAATAATAATAATAAGATTTTGTTAGCATTCAGGAGCATCCAACCTGTGGCCTGTGGGCCATGAGCACCCTGGACCTGAAATAACGTGGAATACAAACCAACATGAAATCTCAAAGCATTTATGAGATTAAAAAAAAAAAATTGGGCAGTGGCGGCGCACGCCTTTAATCCCAGCACTTGGGAGGCAGAGGCAGGCAGATCTCTGTGAGTTTGAGGCCAGCCTGGTCTACAGAGTGAGATCCAGGACAGCCAGAGCTACACAGAGAAATCTTGTCTCAGAAAACAAAACAGAACAAAAAACAAACAAATAAAAAAAAAAACCCTCAACTGCTTGGCTGAGGAAGAACTCTGTAAATAGCACTGTGTTATGATGTCATGATTGCTGACACTTATCACACCATGAACACAGCTAAATCATTTTGCATAATTTTACGTTCACCCTCTCCCAAACATCCCCATGAACGAGACAGAATATATGTGTCTGGCAAAAGAAAGCCGGTGTTTCACGGGGGCGATGGCCCCGCCCAGGCGAGGCCGTAAACAGAGCCTGGATTGGGGATGTTGGAATCGAACTCAGAGCTGTGTCCTTTGGACTGCACTTCCCAAACGACACCAGTGCCATTCACTGTCAGGAAGCCAGTTCAGCCGCTTATAAAGGGCGCTGTCCCTGGAGGCAGAGCCCATTAGAGAAGCCGAACACTTTCCGAAGGCTGCTTGGTGAAGACAGAGATGGACTCTGGAAAGCTGCCCAGAGCAAAGCCTGCTTAAGCTGGCATGCCCGGGCACCTCCAGCCAGGGGCTACCCACCCTCTGCTCTTATCTCCTGCCAGTTCCCAGCACCCATGTCTTACATACATGAATGAGTTTCTGGAACCCAGACTATCAGAAACAGAGGATAATAGAACTTTCTCACCACTCACCCACTGAACACACACTCATTAAGCACCCATTGTGTGCCGGGCACAGCCACTGTAACAGCTTAATAGACACAAATCAAATCTCACATGTACGGATGAGACAGGTGGGTCCCAGGCTTGATGATGATTGCTTCCCTAGAGACTGCAGAGGATTAGTAACCTTCTTCAGGAATCTTCTAGAAAGGTCTGTATCCCTCACACTCATCCTGCTCTCCTGAGGCTGATGTGAGCGCAACTTCCTGGCCACAGCTGATTGGACCAGAAGATAATCTCTGACTGAAGCTGGGCCAATCAGATTTTACCTTTCAGGAATTTGACTCGGGAAGGAGGGAGCTGGAGTTACCAGAGGTTGCAGGGCACCTGGCATGGGTGCTGTGAACCAATCTCCAGTCCTCTGGAAGAGCAGTGTGCGCTCTTAACCGCTGAGCCATCTCTTCAGCCCCTATTTATTATTTTTTACAGTATCCTTATGTAGTCCAGGCTGTCCTCCAACTCAGAATCCTCCTGCTCGAGGCTCCCAAGCACATGGATGACAGGTATACACCACCACACTGGCCGTAAGAATAACTCAAATAAGGTGGCAGCCCATTGGCTGGCAGGATGACTCAGCGGGCAAAGGCACTGGCTGGCAAGCCTGAGGACTGGAGTTTGACTCCCGGGATTCACATGGTGGAGGGAGAGAACAACTCTGGAAATTGTCCCCTGACCACACAAACAGTAACACACACACACACACACACACACACACACACACACACACACACACACACCAAAGAAAAAGACTTAGGTCCAACCTGATTCCACAGAGGATCCCAGGCTGAACCCCATGCTTTTCCATCCTGCTAACTGGGAGGGAAGATGGCGGCCACAGCGACCTCTCAGAACCTTGTCCCTCTCATACGATTTTTGAGATGCCAAACACACCCCTATGATCCAAAGGGATGCTCAGCACCACAGGGATGGGTGGGCTCTCTGGGACGCGCCAAGTCCCTTAACCTCTAAGGCCATGGCCTGAAGGCGTAAGTGGTCGGCTCCCGGCAGTGGCAGGGTGCAGGGGTTGAAGCGGCAGGCACTTGGGCCGCCTTGACCAAGCCCCTCACCAGCTGTGTGTCTCCTGATGAGACATCACCCCGAGTCCCCTCCCCTGGCTCCGGCCACTGGCCTCTGATCTCCTCTGGTTTTTCACAGTCTCCCATATGCATAAAGCACTCAGAAAAGCATGAGACAAACGCTTTCTTCTGTGCGGGTAACACCTTTTCTTTTTAGTTAGAATTTGCCAGCCGATTGTTGCCAGAGCCTCAGAGGTGAGCATTTCCCTCACATCTCTCGAGTCACCTCCGTTCCCCTGAGATCTACCTTGGACTGATCACATTTTTTTCCCCCACATAAAAACAAGTTGTATTCAAAGCCTGCGTGCACCAGCCACATAAAAAGCTGTCTCCGCCTTCGGACGAGCCTTGATGTGTGTGTTGTACCTTTGATGAGGTGTCATGTCTGCTCCTGCGCTCCCCCAGGGCAGAGGCTGGCCAGCCGATTGAAGTTCTCATCACACATTCCTTCCTAGTAGTCACCTAAGCACCTACTGTGTGCCGAGCTCTGGAGTGGGCCAGGGACACAGAGACAGTTTGCAGACCGTCAGACAGGCTCGATGCGGTGGAGGACCTCAAGGATACACGCCTGTGTGTGCACTGAGCCTGCGGCCATGGCTGAGGCAGGCGTCAGGGATGGAGGCCCGGAAACACGAGAAAGAAGTTGGGCAGGCAATGTAATTTCACACCCATCAGCTCCCAGACATCTGACAGATTCAAGTGTTGACAAGGACGTGGGGCCATGAAAACCCCGTGACATGGCCGGGGGAGTGCAAATTGGCACAAAACTTTGGAAAACAAATCAGCACTGAAAAGTTGAAGGTGCCAGCCCCCCGGGGACATGGCTCAGTCAGTACAGCACTTCCCCTGGAAACACAGGATCTAAGTTTGACTCCCAGCCTCCACATTCAAAGCCAGACATGTTGAGGCACATTGGTAATCCTGTACGGGGGAGTCAGAGACAGGCAGATCCCTGGGGGCTTGCTGGCCAGCCAGTCAAGGCTAATTGACAAGCTCTAGACACGCGCCCGCGCGCGCGCGCGCACACACACACACACACACGCACACGCACACGCACACGCACACGCACAGACACACCTTAACCATCATCCCACATGCACCCATATATATACACATACAAGCACACACATACAAAACAAACTTGAAGATGCCACCTCACATGTTCCCTGTTCTTTGTTGTCACAACAAAGTACAATTAAAATGTCCATTATATTAGTCAGTACCTATTGTGATGATGCTGTGTAACAAACAGTCCTGAGAGCCCCAGTGGCTTACAACCAACATTCGCTTGCCCACTGCATTGCAAGTGAGCTGAGGTGCCTGTGCTCAGGGAAGTAAGAGGGGAAGAGGAGGGCTACCTAAGGTGCCCTCTGCCCTCTGCCAGTGCCTCCTGTGAGTGCCATCCTAGTCCCTCTGGCGTCCCTGCTGAGCTGATTTGGGTGCAGCAGGGTGAGAAGGTGGAGGACTGTAGGGGTGGGTGGAGCTGCTTTAGCTGGGATGCATGCTGGTCAAATTCCAGACACGTATTGTGGTGGTTTGAGGGTGTCCCTCATTGGCTCTGGCATTTGAACCCTGGGTGCCCAATTGGTGGTGCTGTTTGGAAAGGTCTAGGAGATGTGGCCTTGCTAGAGGGAGCACATCACTGAGGCCACGTTTGAGGACTCGAAGCCTCTCACCATTCCCGTTTCACTTTGTCCGCTTCGCGCAGCTCAAGATGGGAGCCCCCAGCTTCCTGCTCCCGTTACCGTGACTTTGCCCCACCCTCACGGACTCTTACCCCTCTGGAACCCTGAGTCCAAATGAACTCTTTCTTCTACAAGTTGTCTCGGTCATCACAGCATTGTCTTGTGCTTCATCACAGCCATAGAAAAGCAGCATTATGCCATAATTCCATTCTTCTCTATAGATAGATAGATTTCCACGTGCAAGCTTTCTGCTGGTCCCCAGGAGAATCTTCCATGCACATTTGGGGAAAAAAAAAATGCCGCATCCTGGATACAGTGCACCCACCTGTCAGCCCAGAACTGGGGAGACAGAGACAGGAGGATCACCAAAAATTTAATACCAGCCCAGGCTATACATTGAGATCTTATGTCGCACAGAAAAGCAAAGCAAGGCAAAACAAAAGCAACGATCCAGCTTTGTTCTTACTGTGGTGGCTGGAGAGACGGCCTACAGGTGCTCACTGTCAAGTCATGGGGACCGGAGTTCAGATCCTGGCACCTGTCTGTCAAGCCAGACGTGTCACATGTATCCATAACCCCAGCTCCTTGGGGGAGTGGAGACAGAAGGATTGCTAGGACTTCCAACCTCGCTGAGAAAATATGAGCCACAGGTTCAGGGAGAGACCGTGCTTCAAAGAAGTAGGCAGAAAGTAATGCAGAGCACCTGCTGCCCCCTACTGGCCTGCACATGCATCCACAGCACCCATTAATTAGCACACACTCACACTGACTTACACATAAATACACAAATAAGTAAACAATCGGGCGGTGGTGGCGCACGCCTTTAATCCCAGCACTCAGGAGGCAGAGGCAGGTGGATCTCTGAGAGTTCAAGGCCAGCTTGGTCCTCCAAAATGAGTTCCAGGAAAGGCACAAAGCTACACAGAGAAACCCTGTCTCGAAAAACAAAACAAAACAAACAAAAAAAGTAAACAAACAAAAATACATAAGGGCCAGAGAGGTGACTCAGGGGTTCAGAGTGCTTGCTGCTCTTTCAGAGGATCCAAATGTGGTTCCTAGCACCCAAATAAACCACCTGTAACTCCAGCTCCAAGGGGTTTGAAGCCTTCCTCTGGTCCCCATAGCCACCTGCACACTCATGCACATACAAGCAGATAAACGCATGCATATATGCATAAGTGATAAACCTTTTTTAAAAATTTGATTTATGGGAGGGCTGGAGAGATGGCTCAGAGGTTAAGAGCACTGGCTGTTCTTCCAGAGGTCCTGAGTTCAATTCCCAGCAACCACATGGTGGCTCACAACCATGTACAATGAGATCTGGTGCCCTCTTCTGTATACATAATAAATAAATAAATACCCTCTTCTGTATACATAGTAAATAAATAAATAAATCAACAACAACTACATGAAGAAACCCTGTCCAAAAAAAAATTTGATTTATGTTATGTGTGTGTCTGCCTGTCTGTATGTGTACCACAGGTATGCATATGGCCTTGGAGTGTCAGATCTCCCCCAGAACTGGAGGTGTAAGCCGTTGAGAGCCACCTGATGTGGGTGCCCGGAACTCAACCCGGGTCCTCTGAAAGAGCAGCAAGTGCTCTTAACCACTGAGACCTCTCTCCAACCCCAAACAAATCTTTTTAAAGAGAATAAATAACAAAAATGATGCTGTTTGGGGACATCTCTCCAAACACGCTTTGGGGACACAGCGATGTCATGGGGGAGTTGAACTGACCACAGGGTTTTTGTGTCCCTTGTTCTGGGGACCCAGGGAGTACCAGAGATGCAGCTTGACAAAGCGTCCCCCCGCCCCACTATCCCCCCTGGTCACAGAGGAAGGGGCGGACTCTGGTTCATTAGTAACTGGGGACTTGGGCCACCAGCTGGGCCCGCATGCAGTACCGAGCTCCACTGGCTGCCAGGCCTCATTAGCGGTCACCAGGTGGGGGCGAGCCTGTGGGCAGACAGCCCCGCGTGGATGAACTGCTGTCGCGGCACAAGACAGGTCACGTCCCCGTGCACTTGTGAGCCTTTCTGGGAGAGCTGTTTTCTTGTCTCCTCGCTCGCTGGTATTGAAGTCTGGGCAGCCTGACAGCCCTGGCAGGCAGCCCAGAGGCCAGCGCCCCAGGCAGTCCCCTCTCTGCCTTCTCCTTCTGGCTTTGGTGGCCTTGTGCGATTGGGTGGCATTTGAGAGCACAAAAGGGAAGTTGGTGCCATTCAGGAAAGGGCGCCTCGGGCCTCCCCGCTGGAGAGCCTCTCTGCTGGTCTATTTTCAGTATCCAGGCATTTCTGTCACGGTCCTCATCCTGGCCTTTTTGGGCTGTGCAGGGCGGCGTTCCGCCTGCCTGGGGAACGGAGCTGGATGTTAAACCGCTGGACAGGGACAGGGGTCTGCCAGGCCTCCCTGCATTGCCACCGGCTGCTGGGTGACACCCACAGAACCCAGCCAGCCACCACCCCAGGCACCTGATACCCCTGGCCTCCCTCCCTCCCTCCTCGCTTTGGCAACCACACTGAGAAATAAACAGGAGCTGCTGCCCTGTGGTTGGGTGCCTGCAACAAAGGCCCAGGTCCCTTGGGACACTCCTTTGTCGCTAGCCATCCACATCTGTGGGGTGAGGATCAAAGCCCCCCTCCCCCCCCCCAGCCGTTGGAGAGCCAGGGTTTGGGAGGAGGCAACAGACCAGAGAGGCGGTAGAGATGAAAGACAGCTCAGGACAGCAGCCTTTGTCCCTGGTTGCTCCCGGCTTCAGCATCTGGAGACTACCCTCTCTATCCCCGCCAACCTGGTCTCTGGTCCTAGAAGCCACAGGTTTTGAAAATCCCGTCCAGGAACAGTGTTCCTGGCTTCCAGCATGCCTAGTGGCCAGTTGACGTTGGTTTTAAATCTGTGAGCTTGCATCTGGAGAGGCAGCCTAGCTCAGCGGCAGCAGGCAGCGGTGTCTGTGTATCAGTTTGTTTATGGATTTACTGGCCTACATTTGCGGCTCTTTCTGGGACAGACCTTGGGAGCGAGGCCCTAGCATCCAGCCCTCAGGAACACTCCAGCAGGGCCCAGAGATGTCACTGGCTAGATCCGATAGGCCCAGGGCCAGCAATGTGAGGCTCCTAAAAGACAGTGCTGGGCCTCGGAGCTTTGTGGCATTGAAGGGCTGAGTTTATAGGCACAGGAAAAGCCTCCTCCGCGAGACACAGGGACACCATGGCTCACCAAGGTTTTTGGCGTTCAAAGGCCCTCAGAGTCTAGTTGAAGATAGTTTTCCAGCGTGCTGGGATTAAGTAAACTGATAGATACTTCCAGAAGCCGACTCGGCCCTTGCAGAACACTATTACATATTTTAAAATCTCAGAGGATGGCTGCTCTGTCGCTTTTTGAAGGCATATGTTGGCTACAGATTGTGGCAGCAGGCTGGGATAGAGAGGGGAAGGGAGGGAAGAGGGGATGGGGGGGAGACAGCTGAACAGAATCCTGTCATTCTGTCACAGATCTGGGAAGGTCCCCAGGGGATTGGCTGTAGGGCTGAGGCAGCTGTAAGTGGGCTTAGGTTGGTGCAGAGCTGGGTGGATTAAAAACTCCATAGTTTACAGGCTGGGCAACCCCGGGAGAGTGACTTGCCTTCTCTGGGTGTCTGTCGTAACAGGGGCACTAATGGGAACTATAAACAGTCAGGTAAACAAACACACTCATGTCCCGGATGGAGCACGACCCTAGACATGTAAGAGGGGCTCTGAGAAAATTCAGGAGCTCCTTTTAGCATTTTTCTCATTTCCACCTCCTTGGGGAGCCCCACTCCCTCAGGACAAAGGTGAAATCTCAGTGTCGGTTGAGCCCGAGAGGCCGTTCTCTACGTCCTTAGAGTGTTCCAACAGGGACGTGGGAGGCCAGGTCAGGCAAAGAGAAAGGGCCGAGGGTGCCACCATGACACCTTGGCCCTGAGAGGCTAGGTAGGGTCTCGGGGACACACAGGCTGGAGTTGCATGCCTAGGTTCCAATTCAGCCCCACTGCACACAGCTGTGTAGCCTTGAGCAAATGGCTCTGTCTCTGCCCTTGGAAAGGAGACCTGTGCTCAGCTCACGGAGGTGGTGTTGAGGTTATAAGGTGCCACATAAGACACCAAGCATCTGGCGCACAAAGCCCAAGACTTCCCATGATGCCTTCCTTACCCAACTCTGGTCCCACACGGGAGCCTTTCCAGCCAGCCCTACTACCCAGCCAGAGCCTCAGGATCTCGTTTTTTTTTTGTGTGTGTGTGGATTTTGTGGTTTTGTTTGTTTTGAGACAGGGTCATTCTACACAGCCCTGGCTGTCCTAGAACTCTCTATGTATGTAGACCAGGCTGGCCTCGAATTCACAGAGATCTGCCTGCCTCTGCCTCCCATGTGCCCAGTGCTAGGATTAAAAGTGTGCCATCACTCCAGGCCTAAGCCTCCGTGGCTTTGTACCCACTGACCCAGCAAGGAGTGCTTCTTCCTAACTCAGGTCCTGCGATGTCTTTCCACATCGCTCAGGGCCTTGATCCTCCTCCTCTGCAGAACCTTCAGCCTCTTGGGACAGAGTTTTTCCTCTCTCTCTCTCTCTCTCTCTCTCTCTCTCTCTCTCTCTCTCTCTTTCTCTCTCTCGAGCATCCTGACACCCAGCATATGTCTGTTACAGCATATCACCCTCTTTCCCATCCCTCACCATCTTGTAACCCCTCAGGGGATTCAATGCAAACAGCACTCATTCTAGAAGGCTTGGAGGCCCCCTCCCAGGCAGGCTGTGGGCTTCCCTCCCTTCCTCTCCCTCCCACAGTACCCTGTGCAAACCTGTTGCCTCCTGCCTGTTGAGTTGCCTGTTTTCTTGACTGCCTTCTTGGGATCCACCTGAGCCACGCTGATAAGTAACAACCCCTCAGATGTTGGCTGACGCAGTTTAGAATCTTGCTTTCTTTATCTCTTACAAGTCTACAGTCCAGGGCTGTTCCATGTAGTCCTCTGAGAACTAGTCTCCTATGTAATGAATGACTTCTATGACAAGGTCCCCTCATAGACCAGCATGGCTGCTCTGAGTCCAGCCATTTCATCCACCTTCTAACCACCTAGGGAAGAATCCCAGAAGTTTTTATCTGGCCTTTGCCTTTACACCTTGTTGCTCAGAATTTTTTTTAATAAATTAATAAATAAATAAATTAATTATTTAAAATACACTCATGATATTAATCACACTTGTGGTATTCATAGATTACATTCACAGTATTCATTCAATTATATATATATATATTATATATTAGTATATTATATATATAAATATAAAATTTTAAATGTTGAATGTCATTTCTTGAAGGGGGTAGGAGGTCTTAAATACAGGCTTACAGCACAATGAGAGGACCCTGGAGGGCAGAAATTCACTACTGATGTTTTACAATCTTGCATCTAAGCTGTTAACGCCCATTATTCAGGATACACAGACAAGGAACTTCCCTTAAGCATTCAGGAGGGTAGAACCTGGCAGGGAATTAGCATTGGGAGGATATCAAGGTCAAGGTCTGCAAGCAAGGCAACAGTTACCCCAAAATGGGGGGCCAGGGCCCTGCAGGTCCCCCTTTTATTAAAAAATGAGCTTCTGACTTGGGATTCGTGGGACGTCAGCAGGTCACCTTACCCGTCATGGAGATGCCTGCCCAGGCCACACAGGTGCTCTGTCTTAGGGTGGTGAGTGCCCCCAGGCATTACCCGTCTCTGAATACTCATTATCATACCGGCTCAATCGTGTGTGGATGCTCAGAATTTAATCACACAGCTTTTAGCTGCAAGGGAAGCCAGGAAGCCGCATGGTTCTGTGCGGCCATGTTCTGTACATGACTAGAGAAGACAGTGGGGAGAGGCCAACCAGCTGTGCTCATCTAAAGGCCTCTGTGACCTCATCAGCTATGGCTGGCCACCCAGCAAATGCCCAGTGCTGGGTGTCTGCATTCCTGACCAGGGTGGGGAGAGCATGTCTGTCCCTTTTACCATCAGATGTCTGTGCTTCCTACTGCCTGGTGCTGCTCTTCATACAGGACACTGTAGTCCATGCAGAGAGGGGAGCCCAGACCTTGGGGGCACACCCCGTGGTGGGCTTCCATGACAACCAGATGCTGTGCTCCAAGTCTTCCCGACTACCCACCTGCTTGAGCTCCCAGAACCTCTGTATTTTTCATTTGTTTGTTTTTTAGTTGTTTTTTAAAAAGATTTATTTATTTATTTATTATGTATATAGTGTTTTGCCTGCATGTATGTCTGCACATCAAAAGAAGTCACCAGATCTCGTTACAGATGTTTGTGAGCCACCATGTGGTTTCTGGGAATTGAACTCAGGACCTCTGGAGGAGCCAACCAATGCTCTTAACCTCTGAGCCATTTCTCCAGCCCCTCATTTTTTTTTTTTTTTGTTTGTTTGTTTTTAGTTTGTTTGTTTTTAAGACATGGTCTCATTATGTAGCTCTGGCTGTCCTGGAACTCACTATGTAGTTCACAGAGATCTGCCTGTCTCTGTTTCCCCAGAGCTGGGATTAAAGACGTGCGTCCACCAGACTCGGCATTCGATGCCTCTGTTTTGGCAAATGAGGAAACCCAGGCCAGATGGGGCTGGAGGTTGGGTCACACAGCTTCTGAGTGACAGCTCTGAGATGGAAACCCGGGCAGGATGGCTCTAGAGCCTATACTCACCACCAGCACCATGTGGCCCGGGTTCTTACCAGGCTGAGCCATATCCCACTTTCTCAACTGCCCCCCCCCCCACGCCCCCGACTTCATTGACATGTCCTCACCACCTGCTGTGGTCATGCTAGGGGGATGGGGGGACACGGGTGGGGGACAGGTGGGGTCAGGGGGGACCTGCGGGGTGGCTGTAGGCATAACCGTGGGGGCAGGCCTTGCTGAATTGGGTCTGCATTCTCTCCGCCCTTCAGTTCCCCAGCTGGGCCCCATCTCCCTGACCGTGCCCAGATTGGCTGCTGGGTCTCATCACCTCTTCTGAGAGAATCGGAGGATTTCGGACCCCTGGAGTCAGTGTAGTCTTACGATGCCCTGAGGGCCCTGTGGGGTTCTCTGTCCTTCTAATCCCCTTAGCTCCGAGAAAGGGAGGAGGAGAGACATTAGTCCCACAGAGGAGACCTCGGCCCATCCTCTGCCACCTCCCCCACCGCTGTCCAGAGTTCCACAGGCCTTCGCCTTCACCCCACAGGTGGGCAGTTGGGGACAGGGCCCAGCTCTCTTCATTTTAGGAACTAGGCACAGATGCAGGGGGTTCACACTACTCAGGTGAGACTGCATTTTCTTTTCTTTTCTTTCTTTTTTTTCAGAGCTGAGGACTGAACCCAGGGCCTTGCGCTTGCTAGGCAAGCGCTCTACCACTGAGCTAAATCCCCAAGCCTGAGACTGCATTTTCAACAGGCCCTCTGCAGGAGGTGAGAGGACAGATATCCCCCAAGCCAGCTCTAACTCAGCAGGTTTATTTTAATTTATTACATATTTAAATTATTTACCCAGTGTGTGTGCACATGCCGTGACCTTTGTGTGGGGACCAGAGGACAACTTCAGGAGCCATTTCTTTCCTTCCACCACGTGGGGAACGATGCTTGAAGCCGGGTCATCAGGCTTGGCGGCAAGCACCTTTACCCACTGAGCCCAAATTCAGTGGCCCAGATTCAGCAAATTCAAACACACCTTTCCAATCAAGATTTTCAGGGTGAGAGGGGCCTGGTGGGAGAGGACCCTCCCTTTCATCACAGCTCTTTGTATATTTGTTTGTGGTGTGCGTGTGCGTGTGCGTGCGTGCGTGCGTGCGTGCGTGTGTGTGTGTGTGTGTGTGTGTGTGTTTGTGTGTGTGTGTGTGTGTGTGTGCAGTAACTGACCGGGAGGATCTAGAACTGTCCTGCCACCTGGGATCGGTAGAGGACGCTGTGTGGCCTTGTGTGTGTGTGTGTGTGTGTGTGTGTGTGTGTGTGTGTGTGTGTGCAGTAACCGACTGGGAGGATCTAGGGCTGTCCTGCCACCTGGGATCGGTGGAGGGCGCTGTGTGGCCTTGTGTGTCCGCAGTGAGTCTTGCAGGGGGGTGGTGGGGAGGGGCTGTGGCCAGGAGCCCTCCCCTCCGCCCTCTCCCAGCTGTGACTTTGTCCCCATCCTGACAGGCTTGTCGCGAGCCCAGCTCCCTGGCGAGTGCCGGGTCCGTGAGCAACTGAGAGATATGTTTATTTCCTTTTAATATTGTTCAGGGTTCAATTTACCCAGTGGCACGCTAGTAAATAAATAAGAAAACCAAACCTTTGACAGGCGGAAATATGGAGTTTCCCCTCCCATATTCCCGGGTAATATCACAAAGCTTTTGTGACTCACGAGGGTCTGCAGTGTTTGCTAACAGAAAGAGAAAAAGAAAGGGAAAAGGGAAAGAAAACCATCTCGTGTCATATATATTTACGGCAAGTGAAGAAGAAGATTCCATGGAATGCCCCCGGACCCCCCCCCCCGCCCCCCCGGGGCAGACACCTGCTTGCCAAGGGGCTGTGTCTGGGCCCATGGAAGTGTAACCTGCATAATCATGTCCCAGCTGAGGGCCCGTGTCCTACTGCCCAGAACCCATTACCCAGCAAATCTCCTGACACTAATCTCCCAGGCACCGCGATCCTGGCTGGTGGGGGTGGGTGGTAATTGCACAAAGCTTGTTCCAGTGCTCCTCCTGCTCAGAACGCAGCAGCCGTTAAGAAAGGGAACCGAGGGGGCTGTACCTAGCTAATGAAGCCGGGGAGGGCGAGGCCAAGGAGGTGAGGGTAATGACCGGGCACCCTGTCACCCGTGTGCCTGGATGACTCTGCAGAGACCCTGCTTTACACCCGGTGAGCATGTCACAGTAATGTCTGAGTCATCAGTAAGCCCAGCGGCTGCGGTCTGGGCCGGACAGGGTTGCTAACTCAGACATTCACCCTAGCCGGGTGCTGGGCAAGTGGAGTAACCTATCCCCAGCAGCTGGGGTGCCCATCTGCTGGAAGAGGGGGTTCAGGCTCAAGGAGATTCTGGCCTGGAGGGACAGTTGGGAAGACCAGAGACTTTACTTGTTCATTCTTCATTTTGTTGTTATTTATTTACATGCCTTTGCATTTTTGAGACAGGCTCTCACTATGTAGTTCTGGCTGCCTTGGAAGTTGACTCAAGGAGGTCTACACGCCTCAGCCTCCTGAGTGCTCTGATTACAGGTGTGTGCCGCCACGCCTTATTTATTGTTTTCAGACAAGGTCTCAAGTAGCCCAGGCTGGCCTTGAACACCCTATGTACCAGAGGACGACCTTGAACTCCTGATCCTCCCCCTGCTCTACCTTCCAAGTGCTGAGGTTTCAGGCAGGCGCCACCACACCCCGCTCCAGCTGGCGAACTTTTAAAAATGAATTTTGAAGTTCTGACTGATGTTAGAGATCACAGACTTGCTTCCTTGCCCATAGCGATGAGAGCAGGCCCAGCCGGGGTTCCCACTGTGCAGCCCTACCTCAGAGAGACCAACGGGCAATGCTACCCAGAAACTTACTAACTGAGGTCTTCAAGGGAAAATGTATCATGTTTAGTTCACCTGGGATGGGTAAAAGCGTGTGTGTGTGTGGGGGGGACAGGGATTATGACGGAGAGAGAAGGGGACTCTTGGGGCTCAGAATGACAGGGGAGGGGGTGTGCAGGCAGAGAAGTAGGGGTGAGGAGATATCTGGCCACTTGGTCATGATTGCATTGGGCCTGTGGTGTGTAGATCCGGGCTGGAGACCCCATGCCCCCTCCCTCCAGGCTGTGGCACAATTCTAGGGAAGGGGTAGATGGGTGGGCATCATAGGAGCCTCTGCATTCTGATAATTAACACCAGAGGCAGCTTGGGGGGCGTGGTGCTCACCCAGGAACCTAAGTGTACAGGCTGCCTCTGAGCACACAGCTCTCTGCACATCACTTCCAATTCCCACTATCCCCATGTCAGAAGTACGGGTTCAAGGGTGTATGGGGGAGTGTTCTCCAAGACTCAGGAGGCAGAGGCTGGGCTACATTGTATCTATCTCCAAAACCGGAGGACTGTACACCAGGACTAGCTATAATAATAGATACCCTGTGCTGGCATCTAGAACGGTTCATTTTTAAAATGTGGAT